TTTTATTCTAATAAGGGGAAAATTTATTTATCTACAAAAACATTGTTCTTATTAAATTAAAAAGCGGTAATTGCTGCTGTTTTTTTTTGTTCAAAAATCAAAACATATGCACACACCCATTTTGTAATTTTTTAAAAATAACTTTTTCCTTTTGAATTTTGGATAATTAATTTTTTAAATTCTTATTTTAAAATATAGCAATATTTTCAAATCGCTTTTTGAACTTGAGTAATGAAGATTTTGTGCTTTTTATTTACACTTGACATCATCAGTCTTTCTGAGTCGGTCAGTAAATGAGCTTCTTTTTTTTTTTTTTTTTTAAACGAAACATAAAAACGAAATAAAAGTTAAAAAGAAAAATACGTTTTTCAGCTGCTTTTTTATTTTAAAAAAAGATTTTCTTATAATTGACGAAATCAAACCAGAGCGACTCTTTCTTTCTTTACAAATGAAAAAGAATAAAGATTGACCCTCCGCCACTACCAAAAATAAATACATAAAATTAAAAATAAATTATTTTTAAAGTAAACATTAAACAATTAACTTTAAATGCAATTTCATGTTTATATTTCGAACGAAAATACTATTTTTTAAAAGTTTTTCTCTAGACATATATTCGCTATATGAAACTTGGTAAAAATTTCTCGTCTTCATTTCGTTGACCGCATTTCGTTAATTTATTGTTGTAAACAAAATTTATTTTTTAGCAATGAGACGAGGAGGAAACATATACTTGTTTTGAACAGAATTCTTGTCTAAACAAACTTGTTTTAGCCTCCCACACCACTTCTTACAATTCTGTAAATTTAATTTTAAATTTATTCGGTTACCCAGAAAGCTTGTTCGATTTTTATGAAATTAATTAAAAACAATATAATATTTTTATTTTACAACTTTATAGAACAACTCAATGTTTCATAATACTCTGTCAGTTTTCTTCTTTCAGCCAACTTTATAATTCCATCTTCCCGGATTTTTATCTTTCTCGGAAAACTATTGCTCTAGTAACCTTTCACAGTTTTCTAGGAAATTAATTTTTTTCTTTTATGAAAAGAATTTACTAGAGACCTAAATAGTTACCGGAAAGTTCAATATGGTCGATGAGTGAAATTTTCACATGATGGGACAATAGCGGATAGCCTTATTTAAAGCATTGGTTGGTGAATTTGATGGTATTCTAATTAGGAGTTCAATCCATGAGCCCGGTAGTACAGATTCAGACTAGGTGGAAAATGTCGTAATTAAAAGTTAAAACTGAGCAGTACTAAAAAAAAAAAAAAAAACCAAGGCAAAAGATATTCCTAGTGTAGTGATGTATTTAGAAGCCATTGTCAAAAAGCAAGATAAATAACACAACTTTCCAGCGAACAGAATTAATAAAAATGCAATATAAACAAAAAGGGCAAAAACAGCAACAGTCATGTAAGCAATCAATAAAGTAAATCAACAGGTAAGAAGGCAAAAGAGTTCACAAAAAAGCAAGGTTGACCAAGCGAACACAGTATGTCTGTTTAGTGTTTAAGGCAGATCTGGGCTGAGGTTATTTACCTTAGCCTCCCCACAAGGCACAATGTGGCACAAGGCCGTTTTTTATGAGGGGGAGATTATGAACCAGTGTGCTCGAGCAAGAATTCCGCCGCATACACAAGGTCGGATATGTCTACCTCCCTAGATGTGACTCCATCCTTCGGCATAGTTACGTCTGGGTTCCTCTCTGCTCAATAAGCCAGGTGTGAGCCTGGCAGCGAACCACTTGACTTGGCAGATCTGGACTGAGTTTATTTAATTCTGTGATAACAGAATATGTGGCATAAGGACGAAATGGAGAAAAGGGAAAAAGTTGGTCTTCTGTCTTAACTTTAAACTTAGCTAGCCACAAACACTGACCCAATCATACTAACAATATTCCTTGCACCAAAACAACACATTGTTACGTACCTTTCTCACCACATCCACCAAAATACCTCTATGTCTCCATGAAAATACTAACTAGTCCCCATATGTACAATTTATCATCTGTGGGGGGAGGGGAAAAAACAACAATTTAAAAAATGGCCCCAATGACTGAGTGATGTCAAAATACAAGCCGTCTCATTTTATTAGTTAAGAAAAATATCCCAGCATGCATTTTGTGGACTTCTGACTATAAAAGGTAAGGGGGGGGAATTTGCAATTATTCCACGTGAAATCAACACCTCGACATGGACAGTCTAATGAAAACAATCTCTCCTTGTAGTTTGAATTCCCCGAAGATTATCCTTATCAACAGATACCTGAAGAAGGCTGGCAGGCATGTAGCAAATTTTATCACTCAGGTTGTTCTATATTAAAAATCCAAATGTCTGTATAACAAATAATGGGCTAACTGTAAATATATCATCATCACATCAGGTAAATCACTAGATTATAAGTGTGCAACGGAAGAAAGATTTATTCTCCCATTTGTGTTTTCCTTGTTAACCATCATATATAATAAGACTTTAATGCACAGACAGAATGGAATAGCTGAAAGGAAATGAATGAGAAACATGCTTTGTTCTCAGAGAAAGTCTTATACCACTAAGTCATGCACACTATTATATATATATATATATAAATAGAGAGACACACATATTTACATTTGTCTCATGAGAGAAATTATAACACAAATCTACACAACAAACAGTGTAAAAAGCAAATGAATTCGTAACAAATTATGCCTGCTGAAGATTCTTCTGTGTTTCTGGAGAAGCTATATTTAAGATTCCAGATTCAAGTGGGCCAGATTTATTTGCTATATTACTAGTGAGGATATTGTAAGGTGCTAGGGTAGGCAGATAAAAACTCAACCCAGGCTAAAAAAGCAACTGCTCAAAACTGAAGGACTAACCACTTTTTCACTCTGTAAAGTGATGTCAATAGGTGGCCATCACATAATATATGCAACTTTATCTCAAGCAAAAGGAATTGCATCCCTACACAAAAAATAAAATATGTCTGTTAAATAAATCATTTGTATTTACAAACATATGTTCTTGAATTTGTAACCCCACTCATTAATCCTGATCAATGTAAACCAATAATGTCACCCCACAAGTCAGTCCTCAGGTTCCATCAGATCATTGTGGTTGCCAGCTGGCTGACTTTTCTCTCTTTAACATGACTCGTTTGTTGCTGCTATCATGATTGTAGGCATGTTTCTAATTGACTTAGCTGGTGTTTGTTTGCGACTATTCACTCCTCTGCTACGTTGAGAAGGTCGCCTGATGAAACAAACTGAATTGAAGACGGTTTCACAACTGGAAACCACACAAAAAAGAATCCTTTGAAATAAAGAATTAACTTGTGTTAAAAATGTGACAACAATTTGATTTATCTACAATTTATTATATACAGCAGTTTTAACCCTTCCCACTGACACTGAGATCCCCTTTGGAGTCTGCAGCTTGTTTTAGTAGTATCTTAAATTTCTAAGTTCTGCTCTTCAGGGCCAGTGCAAGGTCTTGGTCAGAAGGTCTCGGCAAATGATGTGGATTCCAGTAGCAGTAGTTTGGGGTCTCTCTAAAAGTTGTTAAAACCTCTGGCTTATATGGAGTCCTGCATCCAGCAGTGGTGGGATTGACTAAGGTCTGTGTTCAGTTATCTTCTACCCTAAGTATCAACCTTTTCGAAAATTCCATATATATTTACTCAAGTGGTTTTCCAAATTTGGGGTTGTTCAGCCTTCTTTTGAGAATGGTCAGAGGAATCAAGATCACTCCAACTCCCTTCATGCCTCACCTCACACTCTCACTCTATATAGGCAGTGCTAATCTCTCTCTTCCTTCTTCCACTTTCTCAGCAGATAACCTCATGCTTCTCAAAAGTTTGATGTGACTAATCAAATTTCCAGATGACGTAGTGAAAACAAAAGGGATTTTCAGTCATTAATCTTTCTTTATCAGCTTGTCTCATGCTGTGATTTCATGATCGACCAGACCACTCAAGAATAGAGAAAGAAAAGGAAAGAAAATTATTCCCATCACCGTAGTGATAAAAACAGTCTTTCCTCTGTTTATACATTTTTTTTTTTTTTTATGATCAACAGACCGCACAGCCATTTTGTTCATGGTCACTCCAAAATAGTAATTAATTCTTCTCTTATCACTTGTATCAAAAGGAATCTGAATTAATGTTTGGATATAAAAATTTTTCTGGACAAATGTCACAGAAATTATAATGACGAATTCATCAAGCTGGCCATTATCCCTATGAGGACACTTCTCTTCCGGATGGATCAAACCAAATGTTTCTTTTTCCTAGCTTTTTCATTCAGAGCAGTCTTCAAGTGTTATTTCAGTCATCATCTTGGTCTTTTTATTGACAACATGTTTATATTTTATTTGACATCTTCATGGATACCTTAATAGTCTTTTTCTCATCAGTAGGAATTAGGGAAGGATAGGTAGTCTTGGTTTTGCTCAATCTTACTGAATTCCATCTAGTTAAATTTGGGTTTGATTCTCCTTGGAATTATTTTAAAACATGTTTTTTTTCAGTGAACTTTGTTTTTAATTTTCTTAACTTTTTATCTTCCTGTGAATCCAACAATTATAATCCAGTTATTAGACTCTTTCCTCTTATTTCCTTCCTTCCTTCCTTTTTTTTTTTTTTTTTTTTTTTTGTTTTATCAATCCCCATAGATCCTAGTGTCACAAATTTAAGAGAGTCAAAAATGACTAAAAAATAGTATTTAGTTGAGCTAAAATCTTGGTAATTTTGTTGTTGGTCCACAGTCAAAACTGTGGTTGGGAAAAGGCTTTGATCATCATTCAAGATTCTACATGTTTCATTCAGCATGCGTTGGGGTGGGGGGTTATTTAGCCATGTTTTCTCATGACTTTGAACAACTTTGATACAGTTGCATCTCTGCTCCTGAAAGTTAAAAACTGTGGGTTTTATGAGAAATTTTTCCTGAAAGTAGGCTCAAGAGAAACAGGATTTTAGGTTTTTTTTTCTCATTGATTAAATATTTCAGTCTTACAGCCACATCAAAATGAAGTACCAGTTCCCATACAATCACCAAAGTCAAGCAATGTTGAGCCTGGTCAGTATGTAGATGGGTGACCCTTTGTGAATACCAGGTGCTGTAAGCTTGGATGTATGGATGGTGTAATGGATAATGGTTTAGAATTGTTAATTGGAGAGCTGAGTTCCAATTCCAGTTGTGTTCTTTATATTCACTTACACACGAATATCCTTGGCAAAGGTTTGAATCTGCCTCTTCCCCCCAGCTATAGGTTAATTAGTAAGACTTGTATCATTAAAACCGTTATTATCTCCAAAAATAAAAAATAAAATTGTGTACAATATATTTAGATTTTGGCATTAAATAACCCACAGTGGTTGATATGCCACTAATTAAAAATAACCAAAATAGATTATTGAAAGTTTTTCTTGAAGAAGTTTGTGCTCATTCCCCGCCCATCTTTCTCACATATATGTCTTGCATGCAGTTCAGAATGAGGCAAGTGTTTTACTACAGTATTTTCTCTCTAGAAAACTCTAGTAGAGGTTATAGTGGGCCATGATCACAGTACATTCAGGCTTGATACAGTGCTGGCTTTTTGGCTTTTGTTGGGAGATTTTGTGAGGACTAAAGTTTTCAATGCCAGAGAGAAAGAATTCACTTAGAAATGAAGGATGCTGTTCTGAAAGGTCTTTTTTTTTTTTTGAAGAGATCTGGGGGAAGTGCTTCTGCATTGTAAGTTCTGATGCTGTCCCTTTATGCTTTTTTTTTTTTTTCTTTTCCCATTCTGTCGTGTCCATTGTTCTTTGGAGGGAATTTTGAATAGGTCTCATTATTTGATCCATTGAGGGTTTGATTTTTCTCTTTCTTTTACTGGTCACATCTGGTGTCCTTTTTTAAATGTATTTATTTCAGTTTAACTTCCTTCCTCCCCCCCCCAGTATTAACAGTGACTCGATCATCTATTGAATACTTTTAATTCTTGCTGTGTATCACATTCTGGAACAAAACTGTTTGGATTTAATGATATTTTTATTGATTGTATTTTGTGTATCAGCTGTTCTTTAATTTTTACAATTTTATAAAAATCTGAAATCAGTTAAATCATTTCATTAAGCGTGTACTTTAAGCAGATAGGTTAGAGTGGTGAACTGGTGGAGTAAGAGAAGGTGGTTTGCATCAACAAGAAAGATTGTTCCAACAATTTTCCACTCTGGGCCTGTCTTTTAATCTGACTGTCCATTTCAACCCCTGATTTTGGAATTTGTCTTTTCTTGCTTATAATGTGTAATTTCAACGTGCATACTGTATATTAGTCAGTTCATACATCGCAAATATGCTTTTTTATTTAATTTTAATTTTTTTAAGCTAAATATTCACCCAATACAAAGCCAAAGAGCCACTGAAGGTAGAGGTTTAACAAGTGATTTTGTTATATGGATGCAGTAAATGCAAATCATCAGGATATATAGGATAGATCACAGTTGACCCTGGACTTGAAATGGTTATGGTTGTAGTGATCAGGGAAGCTTCTGTAGGGGTTTAGGTGTGTGAAAGTGAAGAAAATAAACAATCTGGAAACACATCTTGACAAATTTTATTATTGAGTATTTGTTTTTTTTTTTCAAATTGAAAGAAATGAATTACAAAGATCCCTGCAAAACAAATTCACACAAAAATATTTTTTGTTTTTCTTTCTTTATAATACAAACCGAATTAATTGTGTTAGTGTTATGATGTTGATTTGGGGTTAGTAGAGACAAACGCCAAATAACACGTAACAATAAAAAGGGTTTTAATAGGTTGGTAAAAAGGTACAGAAATCGCCTGAGTAGTCAATAACTAGCTCAGCTAAGAACTTCTCTGTCTTTCTGTCTATCTGTCTTTCGACATGCCACTATTTAAAGTCTTTGTTCGCAAACAAGTTCATCTTCAAGAGGGGTGGTAGGTTTCCGACACAACAGTTAGTATGATAGAAGAAATCGAATGTGTTTACATAAGGAGAGTGTAACGTAATTAGTTGTTTTATGAATGCTTATAATTTTGTAGTAGACAGCATGGCAGCAGGCAAAGAAAGTTATTAAAATTTATGCAGACAATATCTCAGTTTGTATGTTCTAAATGTGCTTAGTTTAATATTGCTAAAATTTTGTAATAAAGTATAGTCAAATAAATATACAAAATATTTTGAGAATTCAACTTGTCTACAACAATGAGCAACTGACTCTGGTCAAGGGTTTATGGAAAAACTGAAAACTGAATAATTAACTTAATATCATGAATATTTATAAGAAAGAAATAAGGGCTCCAGAAATCTAAAAGTTAGATTTTACTAATCTCAGAGTTTATTAGTTAATAAATATTTTCCCAATTTTTAAATATTTATTATTAGAAGGGAAAATATTCGTTTATCATTTTCTGAAGTGATCCTACAAATTTCATAGCAGATGATAAACATAGTTGTCTAAAAGTTTCAAAGGTCTCAGGGTGTTTACTAATAATGTTGCTGATTGGTTAATAAAAGAGAATGTGGAAATTCAAATTGAAGTTGATGTTGTGCATAAAAATGAGTTAATTTTGAGTTTTTGTAATATAACTTGAATCTATTGCATTTTTCTACAATACTTTAACATGGTTCCACATATCCTCTTAGGAGTCTGTTCCACAAAGTAGCCATTCTCTGGAAGAAGCTGAGTGAAACTTCTTTCTTACCAGTGGAAGACAAAGGGAATTCATTCCTGTATAACTGGCATGGCACATTCTGGCTGTAAAGGTCTGAACTATTGAACTAAGTGCAGCTTGTTGAAACGTTTGTCAGGGAAATGCCAATAGAGTAACGATAGGTTTGTGATGTTTTGTCTGTGGGGAAAGGGGCTGTAGGGTTAAAAATAATTCATCACTGACAAGGCTGGGTAAAAGCTTTTTTTTTTTTTTTTTTTTTTTTTTAACTCTGTCAAGGCTGGAAAGGGAGGATTGTGCAGCTCCAGCCTAGATACAACAGGAATTTCATTTTTGGTCTGATCTAACTCTTGTAAAGATAGAACATAGCAAGAGGAGTTGGGTGCTTTCTGGAATGGTACAAGGAACTTGAATTGAGACATCTGTTTTTCTCCTTTTCTTTTTCTTCTTTTTTCCTTTTCTTTTTCTTCTTTTCCCTTTTTTTGTTTTTTTCTTTGTTTCTTCTTTTTTTTCTTTGTTTCTTTTTCTTTCTTTTTCCTTCTTTCTTTCTTTAAAAATTACAATAATAATGTATTCTAGAAAAAGAAATGGTGGTAAATATGAGGTGAATTCCAGAGGTTTTGAGACTTTTTCAGGAGAGACATTTATTAATTTCAAAGAAGTACAAAACTGTAATCTCCTTCAAATTCAGATCCTCTGATTTCAGTGCACTTATTGTAGTGCTCTAACCACTTTGTTAAGACCCTATGGAAGTCATCCAAATTGAAGGTCTCCAGGACCCTTGTCACAACCTCCTTCATCTCAGTGTCTTCAAAACGACTGCCCCTGAAGTTCTCCTTCAGCTTGGGCAGCAACCAAAAATCACAGCAAACAAGGTCTGGACTTGTAGGGAGGGTGAGGGACATTTTTCAACATGAAACTTTATTGCATAGCAACCTTCCAAAATGGCCATGCTATATATCAGAGAGAAAGGTTTGGACTGTATGGAGGGTGAAGGACAGTTTTGATGCCCATCCCATTCAACATGAAACTTTATTGCATAGCAACCTTCCAAAATGGCCATGCTATATATCAGAGAGAAAGGTTTGGACTGTATGGAGGGTGAAGGACAGTTTTGATGCCCATCCCATTCAACATGAAACTTTATTGCATAGCAACCTTCCAAAATGGCCATGCTATATATCAGAGAGAAAGGTTTGGACTGTATGGAGGGTGAAGGACAGTTTTGATGCCCATCCCTTTCAACATGAAACTTTATTGCATAGCAACCTTCCAAAATGTCTTCACATCCTGACTGCATTCTGCAAAGTAGTCAGATTTGACAAGCAGGGTGTGTTCAAAGAGCTGTTACATCCGTCTCCTTCAATTTGGAATAACAAAAGTTGGCAGGTCAACTTATTACATGTATAGTAATCACAAAGAACTGTACCAGATAAGAGAAACTACATATACTGGAAAGAGTGATAACAGCTACTGGACTTGAGAAATCTGTTTTAAGAGAAAGTTTAATTTCAACCAAAAGCAATACTGGCTGCTTGGTCAATGAATGCCAAATGTTTTCTTGTAGGGAAACGTCTAATATTACGATTATCAATAATATACTAATATTACAATAATCTAGGACAGATATAAATGCCTCTCCTAAAAGAAGTCTCAAAACATTTGGAATGTATCTCATATATTAAAGACTTTATCCAACATGTTCACTGTTGCATTGTTGCCTGGCTGTGCTGGCCAGTTTCGGGAATAATAGGAAATTGTCATTTACCTGAAATAAATGACTATAAAGATGCTGATGGCAATTTTTGATGGTTGTTACCATTTTGAATACTCTGTAGTATAGACAAAACTAAATAATACTCTCCCCTCAGCACAATGTAATAAAAATATATTGCACAACCACTCTATATGTCTATGCATCGTTTGAAAATAGCACTAAATGCCACTTAGTTATTAACAGACATTCTAGAGACCAACTTTTAATGATGTCTTGAAAATGAATATGTACGTCAACAGCAGGCAATGTAAGTTCCAAAAAGATGTCTTTGTATGTCTACAGCAGTGTTAATATTAAATGGTTGTAGATTTCCTCAATTGTATTCCAGTATAAAACCAAACTATATCTTGCTCTGAAATTATTTGACTTGGGCTTTGATTGGATCAATGCGTATTGAGAATTGTGCATGTCTTCCACTTCCTTATCCCAAAACTTTTTTTTTTTTTACAGGTGGCTATGAAATATGAAACAAAAATGTTTAAGTATGTCCCCAACTTTTTAAATTTTTGTTACAACCGGTACTACTTGCAGAAAAAACAAATTTTGGAATAATGACTGCAGGATATGGTGACTGCAGTTTAAAGATTGAAGGTGTCAAATTATTTTAGGGATATTATCTTTTGGCAGCAGAAATTCTGGTCGTTCCTGAATTAATCTGACAAGAATTTT